GAGAGAAACTTTCTATGTTTGAAATATTTAGTTAAAAAATATTTTTTTTCAGTCTAAAAATAATTATTTTTTTAAAAAAGAGAAGCTTACAGTAAGTTTTAGTGCTTCTTCAGCATTTTGTTGCAAATAAATTTCATCCGTATAAGTTATTTCACGAAATTTTTTCGGTACATCATTTTCTTCCATTTCGATTTCTTCTACATTTGTTAAGATTTCCACCGGTACTAACAGCTAAATTTTTTACTGTGTTATTTCCAGTTTTTTTTTGCATACTTCACCAAAGTACTGGAAATATTCTGAAGATGATTGTTTTAGTAGTGAAATAAGTATCACTGATGACATATCACTTGTAATGACAGGAAATTGAATATAGCTTAGTTTAGGTAAGCGAAAAGATTAACCGTGAAATAATTTTGCTAGTTTGATTTACCAATAACTCTCGGATAATTAACCATTAAAACAGAATTTCACAATCTCTTTTTTTTAAGAAAAAAACTCAAAGTTTGAAAAAATTTTTTTTTGCAAAATATAGATTTTAAGCCACTACTTTATTACCTGAATTAGTCCTACATTAAAGAGAATAAAGTAACATACCCAAATAGATGCATAAATTTCAATATTCCTGGAAATCTTACAGCTGTCTCTAAATTCACTATTAAATTCACTAATTTGATTTCAACAATTAAACTTATACCTATCCAAAAGTAACTCAAATCGTTGAATTCTATAGAAGTCATTGTGTTAGAAAAAGGTAAGGATTAATTAAGCTAATTAAAATAAAACTCTTTTCTGCTTTTTTTCTTTATAAAATTTATCAATTGTACCGTATCGTCGAATATTTCGTCACATATTTCATCAATTTCAATATCATCTTCTTCTTGCGTTGATGCAATTATTATTGGTGGAATTGAAATTGATGAAATCTACAAAATACGATCATTTTAAATGTAAATTAAAAAATTAAAATGCAAGTCAAATTTTTGGATAGATATTTTAAAATATTTAAGCTTTATGAAAAAACAAAAAATATTAGTGGGAATAATTTGAATAATACTTTTCTTGAAGATAGGTAATAAAACTGTAAATGTTTATCTTTAACTCATTTTTTATGAATTTAAACATTTTTATCAATATATATTCCTTTTATTTCCACTGTATCACTTAATTCAAATATTTTTAAATTTTTGCAGAAATTCCAAGTTCTATTATATGCTACTAAATTTTATCATCATATTCTTACGCTATCAATTGCTGATTCTAATGGTTCGGTTGAAATATTTTCTGTACACAAATCTTCTGATGTTTCGTTTAATTCTTCTTCATCATCCTCCGTATACTCATCGTCATATTCATCACTAGTGTACATTTCTTCTTCATCATACTGTAAGTAATACTGTAATTATGACTAAATTCAGATAAAAGTTGTTATTATTATTTGTATACATTTCTTATTATACCATAAGTCATACTGTAGGTATGAATTAATCTCTTTTTAAATGAAAACGCACACCGCTATTGTATGATTTACAGTATGACTTACAGTAGAGCCGTAATTCGTACTGTAATTATGAATAAATATTTTGAATAACTGTATATCATTATTTGCACAAATTTCCTCTTTGTCACACCATAAATCATACTAAGATTATAAATTAATCTTTATTTTAGATGAAAGCTTATATTATCATTTGCATAGCCTCGTAACATTATAAAAAAATGCACCATCATTTATATATATTTCATCATCATACTGTAATGACGCTGCAAAATTTATTAATTTTGTACTAACTTCAAAAGAAAACATACAAAATTTTTTTTTCCTAATATTTTTGGAAGTTATTTTTAAATTGTGATTTTTTTGTACAAAAATGGGAAATATTTGGAATAATAAAACCTCCGAATCATAATACTCGGTAGAAGATTCATCTTCATCTACTCCTTTTAACGCTGCTTTTTGGACAAGTTTAAGTGTAAAACCAACGTCAATACTATCCTGATA